GATCTAATGTGATGCTTAAGACTGACAGTTTCTTTTTCTTTTTTTTCCTCTTGATGACCTATCCATCAATGTAAGTGAAGTATTAAGTTTTCTTACTAGTATTATAGTATAGTCTGTTTTACACTTTAGGTGTGTTAATATCTACTTTGTCATTTTGAATACCCCAGTGTTAAGTGCATAAATTTTTACACTTAGCCAAAGGCTTGATGAACATCAAATTAGCAGCTATAATCACATATAACCAACCAACAACTGCTTAAATTACATTTATAAATGTAAATAAACTCAGCTTGGTCTGACACTGTTATGCAGTAATGCTTTCTCTCTTAGTCTTTTTGTCAAGTTCATTCTAGGTCCATATTCTAAGTCTAATAGTTATTCTTCAGTGTACTGCAGAATTGGCACATTCATTTTTAAACGTGAGGTTCAGAACCAGAGTCATCACTCTCTGTAAAGGTTCAGTCAGATAGTAAGTACTATCTATAAATGTGTGGGTCATAAAGTTGCTCAACTCTGACTCTCATATGAATAAGCATGCCAAGTTCCAAAATCCAACAGTTATACATAGTAAAAGCTTCATTAATATATTTTCACCTGTCACAAAATACCTTATAAATTTTTTTCCCCTTAAGCCACAGAGCTATCATAAGGATGAAGCATGTGCTTTGCAGGAAGCTCAAGTGTGATCCCCAGCAACAGACTCCTGAACACAACTGAGGAGCAAACCACAAGTACCACAAGAGGAGTGGTTTCTAGTACTTCCCAGTGTTGCTCAAAAACAAAATTATTTTCCAAGGCCCAGAGATGTGGCTCAGTGGTAAAGCACCTGCCTTGCAGGCATGAGGCCCTAAGTTAGATCTCTGAACCAGTCCAACATGCTGGGTGGATCCTGGCACACAGCAGCAACAATAAAGCGGAAGGAAAGGGGGAAAATTTTTCTCCACCCTTATAATAATAATAATAATAATAAAATCATGGTAGAACCTCTTAATTCCCAGTAGATACTCAAACAGGGCAGTTTTCCCAACACTTTGTCAAGGACATTCAGTAAAACATCAATGGGAGCTAGAAAGATGGTACAGCTGGTAGCATGTTTGTCTTTGCATGCAGCCTACCCAAGTTCAATCCCCAGTATCTTACGATGTTGAGAGACCATTCCTGGTTCTGTGCTCAGTGGACCAAATGCAGTGCAGGAAATCAAACCAGGGTTGGCTGTACGCAAGGCAAGTGGAGAGTAGCCATTGTACTATCTATCTCTCCTGCCCCCAATGGTTATCTTTTGTTTGCTTGGGGGCCACATTCAACTGTGCTCTCTCTTATCCTTGCTCTGAGCTCAGAAATGACTCCTGCTGGGCTCAATGGACCATGTGTGGTGTTGGGGATGGAACCCAGGTCAGCTGCACAAACCACCCTGTCTACTGTAATACCTCATTGGTCCCAAGGATTCTCTTTAAATGTGGGGTCAAAGGGTCATTTCACTGTTGCTAATCTACACTAGTTTTCACCCCTTTTTGTGCTTGTTGGGGGGGAAGACCTGGCTGTGCTCAGGGCGCACTCCTGGCTCGGGTCAGGCATCATTTCTGGCAGGCTCAGGATACTATACGGGGTGGTGAGGATGGAAACAGGGGCACTGGCTGCATGCAAGGGAAGTGCCCTACCTGCTATACGATTAACTTTGGTTCCCCAAACTATGCAGTTTTTATTAACAGTACATAATGTGTGGGGCTGGAGCGATAGCACAGCGGGTAAGGCGTTTGCCTTGCACGCAGCCAACATGGCCGACCCGAGTTCGATTCCTCCGCCCCTCTCGGAGAGCCCGGCAAGCTACCGAGAGTATCTCACCCACACGGCAGAGCCTGGCAAGCTCCCCGTGACGTATTCGATATGCCAGACACAGTAACAACAAAGTCTCCAATGGAGAAGTTACTGGGCCCGCTCGAGCAAATCAATGATCAACGGGAGGGCCTTTACTTTTACTTTACTTACATAATGTGTAAGAGAAGTTGAATATCTGAGTTGTCAACATTTCAGAGAGCAGTGATAGAATAATAATCATAACTCAGTAAAAACTCATCACAAATTCTGCCCAAGATGGCTGGAGAAATAGCACAGAGGTTAAGGCACTTCCAAAGCATGCAGCCATGACCAGGGTCAAGTCCCTGGCACCACACATCGTCCCCAAGCACAGCTAGCCCCTTGAGTCCCATTGGATGTGGTCACCCTCCCTCATCTCCCCAAAAAAGACTGCCAAGCAAACCTTAGGAAGCTGAAGTTTATGGCATTTCAGAACCTACCACATTGCTGTACCACACTGCCCCGTTTCCCAGACTTTCATTTTTCCATTCAATCTCCTACAGCCATAAATTCATTAATTGTGCACAACTATTTTCTTTATACTCACCAGATCCATTCACTAAACTTTTCACTTCTCAAGTAAAGTGAAATTTGACAATGCCACCACTCTCTTTTTATGGCTTAGATGTATTATTTTAAGTCCAAACTCCTACAATTGATCCTCAAGTTCCCTCACAGATGAGCCTAACCTTGTTTCCAGACTTTTGAATTATTCCCCTACATAGGAGGAACCCTGAACTCCAATTTAACAGGTCGATCTTCTTTACTGTCCTCTGAATCAACCCAACTGTCTCTACTCTCTCACTCTAATACTATTCAGATGATGATTCAGTCTTAAAACTGGCATAAGACTGAAAAGAGATAATAGATCCAACTATTCCACGTACAAATAGCCAAAACAGGTAAAGGTAAAGGTAAAGGCCCTCCCGTTGATGGTCGATTTGCTCGAGCGGGCCCAGTAACGTCTCCATTGGAGACTTTGTTGTTACTGTGTCTGGCATATCGCATACTCTTGGTAGCTTGCCGGGCTCTCCGAGAGGGGCGGAGGACTCGAACTCGGGTCGGCCAAAACAGAGTAAGTGCCAAAGGAGTAGCAGTAACTAATGTCTAGTTCTTCCCCCCTTACCTTTCCTGTATAACTAGTCACACATTATAGAACAAAAATTAATTCATAGTGCAAGGATATGTCTCAGTGGTAGACTGCCTATCTTGCATGGCGGTCCACATCATGGAGTGAGATCCTCAGTGGCACTGTCCGAGTGACTGCTGGTGCCACAACAGTTTAAGACACCTGGAAGTACATACTCAAGGAACCCCACTGAGCACAATGACATCAACACACGGTAAGAGAGAAAATATTAACACTTTAGTTAACACATACACACACACACACACACACACACACACACACACTAGTGGATCTGGTGGGGGTAGAGTGGGGAAGAGGTGAGGAGGCTTTGAGCTACACTATAATGATCAGGGATTACTCCTAGCTCTCTGCACTCAGGAATTATTCCTGGCAGTGCTCAGGATGGAACCCTGGTCAGCGGCAAGACAAGTACCCGACTGCTGTTTTACCTCTCCAGCCCCAGAACTACATTTATATAGTTTACTCAAATCTTTAAATGATTGTATTAGTATTCTCTTGTTCAAAAGAAACAGAAGCATCTTACTATTGTGCTCACAAATTTCTGGAGTGTATTTTAATTTTCCCATTACTAATTTGCTGTTCAATAGAAAGAACTTTCCAGAATAGTTAACATGTACTCCATAATTCTCTGGACATTCAGTTGTGGATAAAAAGTGTAAAAATTTTGTAAGGAGAACAGTTAGTAACCAAACTCCTTGCCTTCCTTCCTGCTTAAGTGTAACTTTAATGTAAGTGATTTAACATCTGTCAGTCTTTCCCCCTCATCTATGAAATGGGTTAATACATCAAGGGCAGTTATAAAAAAAAAATCAAACGAATCAGTGAAAACAATTTTACAGTGCTCCATACATACACACCCATGCATACACATCACATCCTCCATAAAACCACAAATAGAACTTAGCAATACAGCTGTTACTGCCCCAAAGCAGTGACTACTGCCAAGCCCTGATAATTCGGTACCTATTTTTCCAGTGATCTTGAAAACCTGAACACCGTAGAGCCGATCTGTAAAGGGGATTGGGGGGGGGGAGGGGGAGGAGGGGGGCACTGCTGCGACCGTATTCTCGCGGCGCAAAATAAACTGGGCGCTGCTGTCAACCTGACCAGTGCTCCCCAACTTCACTGCAGCCTCCGCCAGAAAACAAAAATGATGGGAGGAGACGGCTCCTTCCCGATCGTGCCCAAGCCACACACAGAATCGTGCAACTGAAGTGAAATTCTACGCCTGGGATCTTCGACTAAAACAACCCGGGGAGCGGGGGGGCGGAGCAAGTGTAATTCTTGAAACTGGGTGATGGGTCTACCGAGTCCTCAACACCGCTCTCCAGCACCTCAGTTACGGTTGGAGTTTTTTCGCAGGAAAACACACACACACACACACACACGAATACACACTCACTTTTTTTTGTCCTTTTCACGTCGAGAGGTGGATCTCTGTGGCCGAAAGCCACTCCTGACCGTGGTAGTCAGCCTGGGAATCTGGGAAGCTGGGAACGGTTCACAGGACTGCACGGGCCAGCGGGGATTGGGGTGGGGGGTGGGGGGTGGGGGGCGGGGAGGTCCCGGAGGCCGGGTGAGCGCGGCCGCGTCCCGAAACCCCCCGGGCCCACGCGGGAGGCGACCCGGCCGGGTTCCGCCCACGAGTCCCTCCACGGGGCACACCCCGGGGATCCACAGCGCCGGGTCGCCTGCGCGCCCTCCTGGGCTCAGAGCGACGGAGCCGACGGCGGAGAGGCGGGGTCGGGGGTCGCACGGGCCAGTCGCTCACCGGGTTCCGCTCGGCCACGGCTCCGGCCACACTCGGGCCTTCCACCGAGTCTCCGCCTCCCCGGGAGCCGCGGCGCGGACGCCTCCGAGCAGTCCCCGGAGCTCCCGGATTGCCTAGGGTCGGACATCCGGCCCCCTCAGCGCCCACCCCGCCTGGCGGCCCGCGTCCCACTGCCGCCGCCGCCTTCCCACGCCAACCGCTCTCCCGGGCCGCTCAGGTACTTACCGCGGCCGCGCGGCAGCCCAGCGCCGGCTTCAGCTCGTCGCGGCTTCTCGCCTGGCTCTCCCAGGGCGGAGCTGCCAGTCACCTAACTCCGCCCTCAATCCGGGTCGGGACTGACCAATCCGCTGCTTCTCCGGGCCCGGAGGCGGGCACTGAAAGCCGGGAAGGGAGAGCGAGACGACGAACTGCGGCGCCCGCCGCCGCCTGGCGGGGTCCGTGTGCGCAAGCGCGAAGCGCGCGCGCGCTCGCGCGACGAGTCGTGCGCCTTCGCGTGGACCTCGCTTTTGTGTCCCCGCTGCCATGCCCTGGGAAGTACTTTTGTTTGCAACCTCGTGCTCGAGGTGTATAGGAAGACGCACGTTTAAATTCCCTTTAACGTAAAGAAACTGGGAGTCTTAAAACCCTCTTAAGTCTGGACTCATTCATCCCATACTCTAGACGCTTAACATATGTTGAGTTTTTTCATCCTACGCTGTAGAGACTGGTGTCCACTCCTTAGGTCTTCTGCCTTGGCGAACCTTATATCCGGGGTGTGTTTAAGTGTACGCAGTGTAAGGGAGCAGGGTTGTTCAAAGTGCCTGATAGATTAATGGTTTTACTTTACAGCCTGAGTTCCAGGTCACATGAGTAGTACTCTGGATTCACTTGGGGCAAGGCCTCTCTAATAATGAATGAAATGGTCTAGAAAAGGCCCCTTTGAATATCCTAGGCTTTGAAGTCTCGGAATTTCCAATAACTTTTCCATGAAGCTGTAATTCTTACATTTATAGGTAACACTGTATTTAGCCTGGAAGCCTGTGTGAAGGACTAATGAAAGATTTATATGTAGAGTGAGAAAATCAACCTGTGAATTTTTCTGGCTTCTCAAGAAATTGTTGCTGATTGGCTGTCTCTCTTACCCTCCCATTGTAATTAATTCCAAAGGTCATTGGGCTGGCACTGTAGCTCTGATGTTCTTATTCCTTGGTGCCCAAATTTCTCTCTGCTGACAGCTTCCCTTCTTCAGCCGGGGTGTGATTCATTTACTCCACAGGAGAGGACCCTCTGACAGTAAGAAGATGGGTTAGAGCTTTGGACCACACCCTCAGTGAGCCTCAGGCTGACTAGGAGATAAAAACAAAGTATGTAAACAAATGTTTGCTTTGTGTGGAGGGAGCCTGGGAGATCTGCCTGAGCTGGTGCTGGAGCATTTGGGGCGGAGCTCACTGGGAGGAGCCGGTGCCTGGATTGAGGCTACAATGGGGAGTGAATGAACCAAAGGGGTGGTAGCCAAGTGTGGTGTCCTTTCTGGCACAGTTCATTTGTTTCTTCTGAAATCATTTTTCTGTTGGTGTTTGTGCTAGCACTAGTTGCTCAGGAGACCAGATGATGCCCAAATTGAATTTGAACCTCCTGCATGCAAAAAACATGCTTGCATCTTCTGGCACTTCCTTTGTGGCCCCTACTAAGATTTTTCTAGAGTGGATTTACTGTACAGCTGGTGTTTAGCCACCACGACTTGCAACTTGCCTGTTATTTCCAAGATCTGCAGAAGAACCTTAGCATGGAATTCACTGTTATGCTGTTTACAACTCCTTGAAAGAAGGATGTTGTAAAGCATCCCTTGAAAGGATGTTACTTAAGACCTATCTTTTGTTTTAACCATTCCCACTTGGCTTTATACAGTTCTATAGCACAGCGGGTAGGGCGTTCGCCTTACAAGCGGCCAACATGGCCGACCCGAGTTCGATTCCTCCGCCCCTCTCGGAGAGCCCAGCAAGCTACCGAGAGTATTCGATATGCCAGACACAGTAACAACAAAGTCTCCAATGGAGACGTTACTGGGCCCGCTCGAGCAAATCGACGATCAACGGGAGGGTCTATGTTATTTTATTTTTATAAAGCTGTTAACAATAATTTCTGACATTCAAAGTTCCAACACCATTCCCACCACCATTACACCTTCCCACCACCGTTGCTTTTACATTTCCCTTCCTGCTAGGTGTGTTGGAAACAGCCTGGGGAATTTAGGAGATGGAGAGTTCAGTTGAACTTGTGCCACTTTCTTTGTAAATTATTGCTAACTCTCCTGGTGTTGGAATGATTTCTAGGAATACTTGCCATGTTTTGACCATCTATGACTACATTTTATGGTTTCTGACACTGGAAATATATGGATGGAGGAGTTTAACATGTGTTGAATCCATAGGATAGTACAGCAGGTAAGGCGATTTGCCTTGCATGCAGGCAACAAAGATTTGATCCCCAGCACTCCATACGGTCCTCTGAAACCCACTAGAATTGATACCTGAGCACAGAGCCAGGAATAAGCCCTGAGCACCACTGGGTCCCAAAACAAAAATATATAAATAGAATGTGCTGAATTAGAACTAATGCCAGAGGAAATCTTCAATTAATCACGCTTTAAAATGATCAAGTGCTTCAATTTTTGTATTAAGTAAACTTTTAGAATAATTTTAGACTGCAGAGGAAAGTTACAAAGATAGTCCAGAGTTCCTGTGTACCTTCACCAGCTTACCCTAATGCTAACATCTTACATTACCAGGATACACTCATAAAACTAAGGAGTCAGAATTATTGCTCACAATGGGCCAGAGCGATAGTACTATGGGTAGGGCGTTTGCCTTGCACATGGCCTACCCGGGTTCTATCCCTGACATCCATATGGTCCCCTGAGCATGGCCAGGTGTAATTCCTGAGTGCAGAGTAAGGAGTAACCCCTGAGCATCACAGGTGTGACTCAAAAAGGAAAAAGAAAATTATTATTTACTCAGCTCCAGACTATGTAGTTCTTTGCTTTGGGGGGTCACACCTGGCAGTTCTCAGAGCTTATTTCTGGCACTACACTTAGGGATCACTCGTGGCAGTGCTTTGGAGACCATATCGGGTGCAAGGATCAAAGCTGGGTGGTCTACATACAGGCAAGCACCCAATTGTGTACTATCTCTCTGGACCTATGCAGTTTTTATTAATGTCCCCCCCATACCCTTTTTTGTTTGGGGGCCACACCCAGCTTGGCTCAGGGTCACTCCTGACAGGGTTCAAAGGACCACATGTGATGTTGAGGATGGGTCTCAGGTCGGTCATGTGGAAGGCAAAGTGCCCCACCCATTATACTGTCTCTCTGGTCCCTCGTGTCTTTTTCCTGTGCCCAGATCCAGCTCAAGATGCTCTGCTCATGGCAGACCTGGATTCAATTCCTGGCACTTCACAGTGTCCGCAAGCACTGCCAGGAATGATCCCTGAGTGCAAAGCCAGTAACAAGCCCCAAGTAATGCTGGGTGTGGCACAAATCCACACCCAAAAAATGTCCCTTGACTTAAATTTGACTAGTGTTTTTCTCATAAATAGACTGGGATCATAAGGTTAGTGGGGAAAAATACTACACTGTGAGATGTGCTTTTCATCATATCTTATCAGGAGTTACATATTACAGTAACTTGTTACTGCTGATGTTAATCTTGATCACCTGGCCATGGGACTGTTGGCTGGTTTCTCCACCACGGAGTTTCTTTTTTCTTTTTCTTTCTTTCTTCTTTTCTTTTCTTTTTTCCTTTTTGGGTCACACCTAGCGATACACAGGGAATACTCCTGGTCTATGCACTCAGGAGTTACTCCCAGCAGTGCTCGGGGGACCATATGGGATGCTGGGAATTGAACCCGGCTCAGCCGTGTGCAAGGCAAATACCCTACCTGCTGTGATATTGCTCCAACCCCTCCACTATGAAGTTTCTTTCTCTCACTCCAGGCTCTTCTTTGGAAGCAAACATTAAATCTTGCCAATACTGAAGGGAATTTGAAGGTTATGCTTCAACTCCTGGAATATCATCAAAGATTATTTAGAATTTTTCTGTACAGATTTGTCCTTCCCATTTATTTGTAATCAGCATTATTTATAAAAACTGATACCTTTATTTTATGCCTGGTTTTACTTTCTGTGGGGTAAGGTTGGGGCCATACCCAGCAGTGCTCAGGAGTGGCTCCTATCAGTGTACGGGGACCACACGTGGTGTTGGGATGGAACTAGAGTCACCGCATGGAAGACAAGCTCTTTGCATCCTGTACTATCTCTCCAACCCTGTTTTAAGGGGTTTTTTTGGGGGGGCACACCCAGCAGTGCTTGGGGCTTACCCTGTGGCAAGGCCTGTGTGGCAGAAAACTGAGGGAGGCATCTCGTCAGCTGTCAGCAAGAAGCTGAGGCCTGCTGTCCATCCACCCCTAAGGAACTAAATCTGGCCAATCGCCATGTGAGGGAATTAGGCAATAGATGGTCCTTCATGCGGGAATTGTGAGGACTGCACTCTGCTCCTGCCTTGAGCGTGACCTTGAGAGAGACCCTGAGAAACCCAGTTAAGTCATATGATTTGGCCTGCACAGAAACTCCTAGGAAATTATTATTTTATCAAGCTGCTACTCTTGGAATAATGCTAGGAAGCAGTAGGAAACACACTCTCTGTATCCTCCCCAATATCTTCAGTTTTAAATTTTCACTTTGGAGCTTACTTGAAAATCAACTCAGGAGGAGAGTGTGGTGTTGATACATTGTCTGCAGAAAACCTTCTCGTTAACAGTATTGGAAGTCACTGAGGCTGAAATTTAAAAAGAAATAATAGAAATAAAATTTTAAAAGATGAAAAAAATCTACTTGGGGCTGAGGAGATAGCTCTGAGGGCTGAAGCATATTCCTGGCACCTTGTGACTCTCAGTTTGATCCCTGTACCATAGGGTCCCCTGGGCAGACAGCACTGCATTGCCTGGTCCCTTAGCACTTAAAACTGTTGGGCCTTCTCAGTTGGTCAAGTATCACAAGTATGACCTCCTGCTCCTTGAGAACCTGATAGGGAGCACCCCCGAAAGGAAACTAAATTTTTCATATGCTTAGGCCCTTTCCCTGAATATTGATTGTTTTGCATGAGAAAAAAAAAATGAAAACAAACAGGGGCTGGAGTGATAGCACAGCGGGTAGGGCGTTTGCCTTGCACGTGGCTGACCCGGGGACAATTCCCAGCAACCCATATGGTCCCTCGAGCACAGCCAGGAGTAATTCCTGAGTGCATGAGCCAGGAGTAACCCCTGTGCATCGATGGATGTGACCCAAAAAGAAAAAA